CTAAAGTGTACTGAAAGTTATCTAAAGTTTTAGTTCCTTTCGTGGAAACGTGTCACCAGTGGTAAGAACAGTTATAAGTAATTAATTAGCAAGAAAATTATGTTAGATCACCCTAATCTCATAATTAAAGCAGATATGTAAATCTAACTGTAATACATACTTACACATAACAAAGAACAAAATATAGCACCATTTGTGTGTAATAATGGTCGTTTAGTTCAGGATTATTTTACATATTCCGCTAGTCTATTTCAAATAATAAAATCAAAAATGTTTGGTAAACAGTATTTAACATAGATTGGTTTGTCTTTATTCCATTTATTTAATACTAATTCATGAAATACTTACTTATTTTGAGAAAAATAAACAGTGCTTGATTTCATTTCAAGTATCTTTATGAAGTGTTTACTATTAAAACCTGTTTATTACCTAAACTAATTATTGTTAGTTAATCATATATCTATTGTTACTTGAACATCTAATCATTCAATGCATGCTAAATCTACTTATATAATGTTCATATTCAGAGCTAAAGGGTCATAATAGATTAATTAGAATAGTGTAATAGTTAGAATATTTTAATAAATAGTACAATGTAATAGTCAAAATATTTTAATTAACAGCAAAATGATTTTCAACTTCAAAACAAAAAAAGCAAACTGTGCTCACAGATAAAAAAAAATCCTAAGTTTAAGAGAATTGGCCTTAGAAAATACAGGAGAACCAAAACAGTAAATCTTTATAACCGCTCTAAAATACGTTTATGTATAGGGTGTCCAGAAATCTGGACCCATAGGGAAAAATACACAATTTATTTATTTATTATTCAAATTGTAGGCCATTAACAGCCACACAGATATCAATTCTTGGTATACTGTGCCATCAGGGTATTTTCTTTCCTGGAATATGTACACCTGACATTAGAAATGTGTTTATTTAAGTTTAAGAAATAATGTCTATTTTCCCCATAAGTCCAGACTTCTGGGACACCCTGTATATCATTTTCTTGATCAAATCAGTATGATTCAGTAAAATAAAATAAATCCATTTTTTTTATGCTTTTATCTTATTTTAATTTTTATACTTACGTAGCTCTTACTTTACTGTTTTCATGTTTGAATGCTTAATTTTACTTTGTAAATTTTCTACGTATGTATAAGTTAAAAATACTATTAAAAAGCATTGTGTTTTATAGAAGTGCGCGTGTGTTTATATTAAACAACTTTAATCCGGTACAATTACATCACCCTTTGTGGGAACGTTGTCATCTGATATACAATGATATCAGTACACCGGGTGACGGTACTGGTAAGAGATAGGACTGTTAATCACAGTGAAAGTTCACCCTAAGCCATAGGATAGATAATTCTAAGTCCGTAAAGATGGTAAATGTATACAAAACAGATCAACTTTTATAATTAAATGTTTAATTCTGCATTGTAATTATGATTTATAATAGCTCTTGGATTTTATAATATCAACCCAGAGTTTGAAATTAAAGTAATATCACTCTTATTACCGATTCATATCAGACACTCATATATACAGCTGACAATTACCCCAAGGATCGACGAAAAGCAACCAGATGTTTCCTACCAAAGTTACCTTGATATAATTAAGATTATTCATTTGTAGAGTAAAGCAAATAGTGTTCAAGGTTATATTTGTCTGTAATCACAAGTTTGACATATATATTTGATATTAATATAAAAGACTTAGGAGCGAAATTATATTGTTTTAACCTTGTGAAGAGAGAGATAAGTTAGAAATGAAATTTCTCTGCAGCATCTTGTTGTTTTTGTGCCTTAGTTTAACAGTACTATGCCAAACTCCTCCAATCGGCCTCTGCAGTAACTAATGTTTATTATTTGACATCATTGGAAATTTAATTAACGTAAAATTAAAATAATTTCTTATTCATTGCACAGAAGTGTTTATTTTATTTGTTATTGTACTCGTGTTAAATAAATCTAAATATTTAGTTGCCAGTAGTGTTATTAAACTTTAAACCATTTCTTCTGTTTTTCATAAGTCTAGTAAATTTTTACAATTTTCATTTTATTATCTACTAAAAAAAAACTATAAAAAATAAAAAATTATCAACAAACGAAAATCTGCTTTAAAACATGGTAGCTCACTATTGTATTTTTCTGTAGAATAAATGAGATAAAGAGCTGAACTGTTTTGTGTAGCAAAGATTTTATCATCTAAACATATTTTGTGTCACTTACTCTTTAAGAACTGAACAGAGACCAGATGGAAAAGTACTTGGAATGCGCAAGTGAGGAGGTTCCTTTGTGGGTAAGTAGTTGGTATAAATGAAAGACTTTTGACTCAGCAATGAGATAGACAAACAGAAAACAATTTGAATAAATGTTGTTATTACAAAGGTTTATGTTCCTACCTAAGAACAACGTTGATCTAGATGCAATACTTACAAGCTCTATGTTTAAGTGGATAAACAGAAAACATAGCTTAAGGGGTGATACTTAAATTTGAAAGGTGTAAGACCAGATGATAAAACCAAATAAGTAGATGCTCTAAACAGAAGATTTCTACTTATCAAATATATGTTCCAAGAGGAATATCATTCTTCAGTAAAGAAATGTTCCAAAAGGAATCATCTTTTAGAAGTATAAACAAGTTTCAAATGGAACTCCCCTGTCTAGTATGTGTTTTATGTCAATTTAAAGTCACCGAGCTAATAAATACTTTTGTTTAGATAAATACATTTTCTATTTTAGAGTATGCTCTCTGGGTAAGCATGATGTACAGTAGGCTGAGTATGCTATATCTAAACGATCTTGGAGTTTTACCATGTCTCACATGTCATGTCGCCACGTTCGGTCAGGCTCTATTTCGACATTAGCCTTTCAGCATAGTTTCTGTTGCAAAAGGCTCCGTTGTTAGCTTGTCACGTCCAAAGCACATTAAACCTCCTTGCCGACCTTCCATAATAAATCTAGTGCATTATAACAACAGTTTCTCGGCACCTATTTCAATTGTCCGATAGCACAGAAACGTATAGGTGCCCAGTCTGGCGACTTGATTGGTATGTCTTCAATGGAATAGCATGAATACATATCTCATTCTCCAGCTGCTTAAGGTATACGACAGTTAAGCGGGAGGTAAGACGAAAAGCCTTATCTTGATGAATCCATACCTTGCTGTTCTCGTTTCCAGGTAGGGATTATATTTTATTATAGTGCATACTGTTACTTGGGATAGATGGGTGGCTTTTGCTACTGGCCCTTGTGTTCGTGAATTTTTATCTGTTACAAAACCCTGCACTTTATTTATCACAACTGAAGTACGACTTGTTGCAATTCCCTTTCTGGATGGTCCTGGAACCCCAAGTTAATCCATATTTCTTTGTTATCTTATGTCATTATGTACAAGAGATACCAAGGTCTTGGAGATTCTAAAACCCTGATCTGAACACATCTTTATTACCCGAGTATATGAATATTTTATCTATAAATATTATATTTCCTTCCCAAAATCGACAATTTTCGATAGCATCATACTATTTATCTACGAAACGCCAAACAATGACAAAATGTAGTTCTGATATATGCTGCTTTACCGTGTCTTTGCATCGGCTGTGGATATCACATGACTAGATAATTTGCTTATCAAAAATATATTTAACATAATATACATAACCCTATATTTCAATGGCTTCTGTATTGGCAAGTATTTAGGCTATTCCAAAGTTTTATGCCAGGGTGCGTGAATGGGTTACTTTTGTATTATGTCTGGGTAAGTACGAAACTGTAAGTCTTTTCTGATGGGTTAGTACAAACAATATTCAAATCAGAGCACTTTACCAAAGAATAAAATGAATCGAATTAACTTAATAATTTAAGATTTTAATATTTCATAAAAACAGTCTTTTGAAAATTTCATATTATTATTGATCTTTCTTTAAAAACAGGTTATGAAAGAATATGACAGGTGCAAAAATGAAATTATGCCTGGAACTTCTGACATTGATATCATAAAGAAAATGTGCGAAGACTATGAAACAGCAAAGGAGGTAAAATTTCAATTTTTAATCGTTCACATTTATAACTGTTTATAATTTCAAGCTGTATTCTCATGGAATAAGTTTTTAGTGCTTATTAAGATTTATGTGCGCCCCCCTCCCCAGTGGCACAGCGGCGTGTCTGTGGACTTACAACGCTAGAATCCTGGTTTCGATACTCGTGGTGGGCAGAGTTCAGATAGCTCATTGTGTAGTTTTGTGCTTAATTACAAACAAACCTTAGGTACGATGTAGACTGATGTTTTAGCCTTCACTTATTATTATTGTCTCGAAAGCTGAAAACGTCTGTTGGTAAATAATCTCTTTAATAGCGAGTTTACCTGGTATCATGTGATACTTGTTACTTTGTTTTTACGAAACATTCTACCGTAAATATAAATTCCAAAATAAAAATATAGACGTTTCTATAAATATAACAAATTGAATCGGTATATGATACTAAGGCTTAAAACTTCAAATTCAGTGATTTAGAATATAAACAGAAGCAGCAAAAAAAAAATATGAATATTATTTAGTGCATTTAAATCAGGGGTCAGGCTTAGCTGTTAACGTCCCGAGTTGCTAATCAGAAGCTCTAAGGTTTGAGCCGCGAAATATATCTGAACAAGCACTGCTATTTTAGCTGTGGGAGTGCTGTGATTGTGACAGTCTAGCTCGCTATTCGGTTAAGAGTAACTGTACAACTGAAGGGTGCTCCTGGGTGGTTGTCCTCCCTCTGGTCAGCAATTTTAAACTAGGGACGATTTACCTGAAAATTAAGAGTTTCTGACCTAGCTGTTTAATGCATGTACTGCGTAAAGTACGCTTTGGCTGAAAATGTCAATACCAGTTTGAATTCATGAATGAAATATAACAAACATTTATATCTTTAAATTCGATAATACCATTTTACGGTTGTAACACATATGTAAAACACAGTTGTTTCTTCAGCTTTACTCTAATTTCACCACCTAATTTACTTTGTCCTAAAAACTTGTAATTATCAAGCATACCGCTTCATTTTGTAGCAGTTGATCAATGGAACAATGCAACAGATATAGATTGTTCATTTTAACTCCAAGCTTGGACTCATCATGGAATGAAAAGTAAAGTGGCGAAGAAAACAAACAGTAATGTTATATTCCTTCAATATCTTCAACTGATTAAATTTTAGTTCATTACAAATTGTAAATTTCAAACTTCCTATCTAACCATAGTAAATTGGTTGTTAAAGAAAAACCGCTGTTAAGAAAAGTACTAAAGAC